GATGGCGCTTAGCCTAAACCTCGTTTAAGAGTAACAAAGCTCTAGTTCAACATTTGTTCATGACTTCATGATTAAAATATATTGCTACTCTCGATAGCGAGATGTAAATTGAAAATAAAATAATGTTATTCACTCCATTGTACTTTGAAATTATGAAACTCTTTTATACGCTAAATTTGCAGTGTGTATTAAAATTTATACAGAATCCTCGGGGCAAATGGTATTGCTCGCATTGCATATCCCGGGCGCCTCCCAAGAAGCCGCGCAACACCAAGAAACGAGACAACAAGCATAAAGACAACAGTATAGATCTAGACCAGAGCATGGTGCCCAGGTTAGTTATGTCATTATAATGAGGAATAGCGGTTGCCCGCGACTTCGTCAGGCGGACATAAACGCAAACTTACAGACAGACTAAAATTTAAAAAAATATCGTTATAAAAAACATCATGAGTTTAATTGTCTGCACATAAAGAATACAATGTTTATCAAGAATATAATAAAACGTTTTTTATGTCAACAGTCCGGCTGCGTCCCAGGCATCAACTTCAACGACAGCGGAGGAGTGCGCGCCGAGTGTACTTCACACGCCGGAGAAACATGACGAGCGCGACGAGACCCTCACAGAACCTGAGAACGGACTCAACCATCACCCTGGTACAAAAGTTTTCACACATATGTTTTTTATGATGACGTGGCAAACGAGTGACCGTTTTGCCTTAATCCAGACTCCACCAGACACACATACAGATACGTTGCCTACCGTTAATCGACGGGGGATGGGACGAATAGAAAGGGAATATTTCCTCTTCCTATTTGTTTACTTCTCCGTCAAATTCACTGCTGGGATCCAAGGGTGAAAAGGGAAAGAGAAACTAGGAAAGATATTAGAAAAGAATAATATACCTTATAACATACAAACTTTATAACTCTGGTTAGAGAGAAACGTCTATAAGTGAGAGATATCTCGGTCGTTTGGTCTAGCTTATCTAGGTTTGACTGTATTCGTAAGATACATGAATGTTGAACAGTTGCGGAATTATCAGAGGAAGGTCCACCGCCGGAGAAACGACGTGCGCTCTCTGTCGGCAGCAACGGAGCCGTGCAGCATGATGACACTGACCACATGGACGGTTAGTAGAAAAATTAAGACTTAGTCAAATTGTTAAGATTTTTGGGACTATATTTGTTGAATTAAAGATAATATTGTAAACTACTCTTAAATATATGTAACAATTAGCAGTGGACGACATCAACTCAGAGAATGTGCCGTTGCTGTCGAGAGCGAAGAAAGAAAAAACAAGTGCCAAAAAACAACTCAAAGAATTGCAGTTTTGCAAGTAAGATATAATTTACTAGCTGTCGCCTGCGACTCCGTCCGCACGGTATGAAAAAAAAATCTTAACTAATCTATGCCAAATTTCATCGTGATCCATGCAGTTTTGGAGATACCTTCAAACATCCTTCCATCGATTTATTCATCCATCCAAACATTTGCATTTATAATATTATTAAGATGTAAAATGATGAAACAGTTGATTTTTTTCTCTAGCATTTAATTCTACTACACGTAATAGATGGCGCTGTACATGTTTATAAATTATTTAGGACCCTGCTATCGGAGATGGAATGCCACGAACACGCGTGGCCATTCCTGATGCCAGTTAACACGAAGCACCTGCCGCAGTACCGCAAGGTCATCAAATGCCCCATGGACCTCTCCACCATCAAACGCAAACTGCACGACGGCACGTAAGTACACTCTACATACCAAGATATATGTATTTTTTTTAATTCTTAGACGTTTTCTCCAAACCACTAGCCGCGTTGCTATTTTTTAGTACTTAGTTAAAAGTGATCTTTACTCGTCAACTTCAACTTAATAACCCCTTTTAAAGTTTCAAATTTTAAATTTAATAAACTTCTTGGAATTACACTTTAAATTATCAATGATTTCATTAACGTCTTTAGTTAACAATTGACTCTCAGTTCAATACTAACCGTGGGTTTCTGAGACGATAATCTCCGCTTAAAACATCTCTTACAAAACAGAGTTTTTGTATTCAGATTTTGGTCTCAGAAGCCAACGGTTAGATCGATTGTTATTTTTATAAATTAATCAATTCGTTTTAAAAAAAATATATTTTTAATTTCCAGGTACAAATGCAAAGAGGAGTTTGCGTCTGACGTGCGGCTGATATTCAGCAACTGCGAGGTGTTCAATGAGGACGACAGTCCGGTGGGGCGCGCTGGACACAGCATGCGACAGTTCTTCGACGCGCGCTGGCCTCATGTATGACAGTCTCAACATGACACACACACAGACTTATCAGCGACATCTATTGGAGGAGATCGACAACGCAATGAATAATGATTGTGTGAAACTCACTGATGTAGACTTAAAATTCAAATTTATTTAAATATAACGATTCTATAAAATCAAAAGAATCAAATGATTGAAAATATATAGACTTTACATGACAATTTTAAAAGGTTTTATCAAATTTTAAGAATTTTATAACAGTGATGTCTTTAAATAATCGAAATAGACTTTGATTATAAAATATACTTTATTTAGTAAAATTATTTACGCACAAAATATAATGAATGTATTTACTTTTTCATATATTTACTTCGAGATCTCTTTTACCTTGATTGTGAAGTTTTATCATAGTTAAAATGAAACTTTTCAGAAGTTTGACTTTAGGACTACATTATTATGACATTCCAATTCAGACATAACTACAAAATGTAGTTTTTTTTTTATTTGTTATAGACAATTTATTCATGTTGAAGTAAAACCAAGAACATATTTAATTTCTAACTTACATGTTCCCAAAAAAAAAAAATTGTTACTGGCAATACTTCGACATGTCTAATGTCATTACGATGGCAACACTGTTATAACGAATCTCGATGTATTAAAATATGTGATTCCAATTTTAAAATCGGACGTACGGACAACGCACAGTTAATTATCTGGCGTATTTGTATTTAATTACGTAGCTGACTGTATATATTAGTTTTTCTTTTAATATAAGTAATTGTAGCAATTATAAAGTATTAGATTGAGATCTATTCTAAGCATAGAGAAGTATAGAGTATTGATGTCGTTTTTCGAATATTATTTTTATAATTATTTGCGTGTAGCAACGAACCAGTATTTAAAATATCTCCTATACCCCCGCATCTTTGATTTGATTATATCTCTGTGGCGAGTCATAGTCGAGTGATTTTGTAAATTTTGAGTGTGTAAAAAAATTATTAATTGAATATAATGTAGTTACGGGCTTATTGTATGAAAAAATCTTTTCGGACAATTTTTATGAAAAAAAAATGGAAAATACATTTTGACAGTCCGATTATGATTGTTTATTAAAATTGTGACCTGATTGGTTCGTGAATAGTCCGTTTCAAAGTATTGCATTAGGCGGGAAATAAAATATAGTGATTAATTGTAGTTTAGGGCCTAACTTGAAAGTGACAGGCGTTTTGCTCTTTATATCCAATTTTTTTTTCTAACAGCTTTGAGGCTACAGTTCAGTTATATGTATACAAAAAAAATCAGTTTGAAAATCATTTTTTATGTATAATTGTAAACAGTTTCAGCCAGGACTATTTAATTTTTCAGTCAATACATTTCTTAATAAAAATTGTTACGCTTAGTAAAAGTAGTTTTGTCCTTTAAAGTATGTATATTACGATTAAAAAATTATTTTGTATTTGATGGTTAATTTTTCAAATTAACATGTATTATATTAAAAAATTAATTCTCTTGAAATGAATTATTTATATTGAATATACATTTCTTAAAAAAATAATTTTACAGATCTCTTCAAATACTACTTAATAATTTATGTTAAATTTTTAAAAGTAAAATTTAAACTGGTTTTGCTTTTAAACATTTTTTTTAATTTTTTGCTTTTTATACAAAAAAGTTTTCTTCTAATACTCATTACAGATGATATAATTATGTCGTTATTTCTCTAATGATGTCTCTATTTGTCCTAAAACTATATAATGTATTTGACTTTCTTAAGATTGTAAATGTTCAATTCAAGAGTCATGTCTTATTTATGCTAAGCTTTATTTATTTCAATTATTGATATTAAGTCGAAAGTAATTCATTGTAATTGGAGAATCCAAATTAATGGTACTTATATGACAGCGAAGGTCGCCGTATGTTCTGTAAAAAAAATTGTAACAGTTGAAATGTTTTAACATCCCCTGTATAAGATCATTATTGCTTTCTCTTTTTCTCTCAAAGAGAATAAACGAGATCGCAATATTGTTGATATACAAGTTTTACGGCAGCGGAAACTTATAATTATTCAAATAGCTCTACTAAATGTCCATTCCTTGTGCACAACGTTGAGTTGGTTTTTTAACTATTTTAGCAAAAGTATTAATAATTTTACGAATACTTAATCCATGCTTTTAATTTTTAGTTATTTTACTCACTGTGTTATTAAAATGTCGTCGAATTTTAAATAAATTATTATTGTGTATTTAGTTTTTTTAATCTTTGTATACTTAATGCCTTCGACGAAATATGTTTTACAAAAATCAAACCTATACTGCCAGACATAAGGACGATATTACAATTTTTGTAAAACGTATTTGTCTGGGGGCTGGGAGATTCGTCCGCGAGCTTGTGGCGTGATCACAAAGTTTTATGTTGTGTGCATCGGTTGATTTTAATTATAAAATGGATATATAAATTATATATAATGAATAAATAAATAATTTTTTGAAGCACTTCCTTCTTGATTTTTATTTTATTATCGTTTAGTTGTTTCTTAAATAGAAACAAAAAAACTTCATAAATGGAGTGATCTACAAAATATAAACTTAGTTCGCAGTTTACAGTACAAAAACATTTCCTGGATTTGTTCCGGTCTAGACCGATATTGATGGGAAGATAGCTAATGCAGACACAAACATATAGGCTACTTTTAAATTCTGCGCCGTCCGATAGTTTTCTAAATAAAATAACGCAATACAGTATTGTAAGTTAAAATTTTATTCCATAAAGAATTGTTTTTAAGGCTAGACGGTATCAGCTTCCAATTTAGCTCGTGCCTTTTTCATCTTCAGTCTCCTTTGACTCCGCTTTCTGTTAATAGGCACACTGCCAATGAGTTTCCCAGACTTCTGCAGTGCTATGAGCTTTGCTGATTTACTCTAAAAAAATGCAAATATTAAGACATGCAGAGAAAATTTACACAGCTTGTGCAAAGAAACATATAGTTATCTTTGTTTTTTCAACTAATAATTGAATGGAAAGAAAGAGAGGGATATAAATTTTATGGGTATTTTGAAAGTGTACATTAACATATAATAAGGCCAACATAATTAGTTACCTTAGCTTCTGCTTTTGTAATCTTTCCATTCTTCTGAGTTGTGTATAGGACATTTATTCTCTTGTTGCAAAGCATTGAATGATGTTTTGACAATGCTAACTGTTGGGAAAAAACTAAATAAATACAAGGATATTAGTCCTCTTTCCCTTCCCACCCTTTTTCTTATAAGGAAAGGATGCGAAGTGGAAGTGGACTTTCCGGATGAGAGAATGCATGGAAAGGGAAAATGTTTTATTTCTGTGCATCCTCTCCACCATCGATTAAAGGTAGGCAATGCATATGCAATTGCGTATGTCTATGGGCAACGGTCACTTCGCTATTTCAGCGATGTCAGGTGGCCGCTCACTCGTTTGCTACCTTATGATATAAAAAAAAAAAATAGTTTAAAGATGCAACTATATCTGTATATAGTTATTTTTACAATAATCATCAAAATTAAGGTTTTTCAAGTATTAACTTTCACTTTATATTTTCAAGTAATTAAAATAGACCAACAATGTTATCTGTTGGGCAAAATATTACAAACCTCATATACAACTTCATTTTTAAGTTCCACATAAGCTATTGCACTCTTTTTCCCTTCTTTTGGCTTTGGCAAACGGATGTCTACTATTGAATCATTGAACTCAGAAAAATGTTGCATTATCTGTAATAAATTAATATACATTTTTATATTTTTACTTCATGCACCTACATATATACACACTCATCAGATGAAATGCGAAATTGCTTCCACTTTACGCCTGTCTTCTTTATTTTTTATCATAATTTTTAGAAAATATTTTTCACCTTTTCTTTATCGATATCCAAAGGCAAGTTGCCAACAAACACAACATATCTTTTTGGTCCCTTGACTTTTTGGACAATTTCCTTCTCACTTTTTTTAACCCCTTCTCCTTCATTTGGAATAATGTCTTTTTTCTGTGCATCATCAGCTGGTAATTTCTCTTTCTTCTTTTTCACCTCACCTTTCTTACTTTTAACTTTGTCAGTTTTTGTTTTATCACTTGTTTTTAATGCAGTCTTCAACATATTGTACAAAATTCTCATTTTTCTCAGATCTGCATCGGTATAAACATCTGAACTTTTTAGTATGGCTTGTATTCTGTTATGAATAAGTTCAGGTAATAAAACTTCTGATGTACCCTTAAGACTGTCTCTGATCATTTGACGAAGCCTTCCTGAAGTCGAAATTATAGAAAAACATTACACATTTGGTTATTGATGCAAAAAAACATAGGCTTATGAATATACTAGCTGTTGCCCAAGACTCTGTCTGCGCAGAATTAAAAAAAATCTAAATAAGTAGCCAATGTGTTTTTCCAGACTATGTTCTACATCTATTCCAAGTTTAATAAAAATCCATTGGGCCATTTTCAAGATCCATCAATCCATTGATCCAAACATTAACATTTATAATATTAGTAAGATTGATTAACAATATAGCAGCTTAGAATGTATATTTAATTCAATCTATATATACATCAATGATAATAGAAACTTAGTTGTATAAAATTCATACCTTTCTGATTATTTGTCAAAGACACACTGTGCAGTTTTTGTATGAGTACCTTGTCACTCAAAATAGGATACTGTTCTGCAACTTCAGTGGTCTTGCATTTCTTAATATCTGGTGATTTCGGGACTTCCTTCAGAGATGTTAACTTTGTATTAGCCGCGTCAATTTTGCTTGCTTCAATATTTTTTGGAATATTTACTGCATTAACCATATTCTCACTACTTTTTCTCTTTCGCTTCTTGGCGATCTTCTTAACTTTTTTGTCTGTAGCTCCCATCCTGAAATAATTACCAAAACCTCTAGTAAAAACTAAAAAATAATAAATCTTTTCTTTTTGATAAAAGCACGTGGTTATTACCTTTCAACCATAACCATATTGAGAGTTAGATACAATTGGAGTTAAAAAGCACACGCGTATTATTAATGTTCAGTACCAAAAGTTGCAAAAGGTTATTATTAGTTACTATTTATGTATTTTATTATTTTGGCATTTACACATTTTATTTAATTTCGTTTTTTACATTTTTGTTTGGATGTTAGATTGACATAAGTTTGCGTTGACTTTTGACAGATTTGACAGTAGCACATGAAATCGTTTTCAGATTAAAAAAAAAATTATGTCTTTTTGTGGTGACATCAAAAAGTAATTTTGAATGTGCCAGTAATATTAAAATTACTATAAAATTATACGTTTTTCTTTTCAATAAAACAAAGCAGCTTGGTTCTGTCGATGTAACCTGTAAATATTTGTCTTGAATTAAATAATAATTATTAGCTCAATTAGATTCTTCCCAACTAATCTGTTTCTAAAGTTGATTAACTTTTTTTTAAAGGAGAAGGAGCAAACCAGCAACTTACGCGCTAGATGGCTCAAAGTAATCATTTTTATATATTTTCTAAACATCTCGACTATTTTTCTAAATATTCTTTAACCTTTTCGATTGGATCACTATTATCTCAAAACGTAGTCACATATTGTACGTTGATTGTACGTATAAAAACGGGGGATGTATTTCACCGATCGAGTCACTTTATTCTGTTGTTGCGATTGTCATTATTGTTATTTTGCATAACGTTTAAGATATTTATTATTAGTAGATTGTGAATAAGATAATCATATTACAATTACAGAGAAAACAGAAAGCTGTAGAAGACTTTCTAATGAGTTGTTATGCCGCGTTCGAAGGTCAATTACTATGTTCCGTTTTATAAGGGTAAATTATCTTATTTAAGATTTACCGTTAACATATCGAAGGTCGTTGAAAGTCGGCAGATATATAAACATATAAATAATGATTACTTACTAAATGTACTGACTACGACTTTCAAACTCGATTCCAATCAAGTTACAGTCTTGTACGCATTAGTTTGGAGAAAAGGAAAAGTGTTATAATATATTTTATATAGTCAAAAAATATCATTTAAGTTTGCAAGCATGTTGTAACAGATTAGAGATGTACGCGATTATCTAGAGTTTTTCGGACATCTGAAGTTCACGGTAAAGCTCACTCTGCTTTTTTTTCATTATGTACTCACGCATTTTATAATTTACAATATTTATAGGCAACGTATAAAGGAACCAGCAGTTTCGGATACGAATGACATAGAAGCTGAACACTTTTACTATATTATATTTACACTGTACTAAGTACATAGTTTAGTTTTAAGTATTCGTGTCGTTGTAGTAGTACTAGTTCGTAGTACTGTTCATGCTCGTGGTTTTAGTGTGGTCAAGTTTCTAAAGGAGGTTTCTCTCTTACCACAGCAATGAGAAATACAGTGGAAACGTATTAAATTTTTCCGAATTACGTATCTATTATACATGCCCTTTGAGTATGTGCGTAGCAGCTGCATGGGTATTATTTCTTGCTTTTCATCCGATAAGTAAGGCTTACTGGCCACATCCTGTTTTATGCTGTCCTATTAAGGTCTTTAGCTTAGCAATTCAAGTCTATGAGATGAAATATGTGGTCGTAGGTCAGGTTTTAACAAAATAAGAATGAACTCGATAACCATTAAATTAAAAGTCGTAAGCATTACCTTATCTTAAATATATTTCTGTACTGTTTAAATGGTTTAAGTCGTTAAAACGTTATTCGCATTCAGATAACGTATCTCAAAGCTCTACATACTACACGGCAATGAAAAGCTTAGTTTCAAAAAAGCACAAAAGATGACCGGAATGAATGCAGCGAAGCGAAAAGTAACTGTTGGAAAGTAATTTACATGAAGTGGCAAGAGAACTTGGCTCGACTTGCAACGATAGTTCGTTCAGTGTGGCCGCAGTCTCGTAGCGGTCAAGGCTTCGCGGCGAACGCCCGTGCTTCTTTATAAAAAAAATTACTTCAAGAAAAAGCGCGCGCGCTTGTCAAAAAAATCGACGTACATTGAACGTAAAAACATTTTTTCTCAAATTCTTTTATTAATATAACTTTTGCTAATTATCGGTTTTTTAGTACAAATAACTGTTGTCTATGTGTCGGTGGATAATGAGTTCGTTATTGTGAGAATATACATCTTGGACTCTAATATTACAGGTAACTTAATTTATTTATCTAAATTAACAATACTAAATTTTCTAAGTTACCATTAAATAAGTCGTTAATTAAAAAAAATAACACCTGACCGTTTTTTAAAGTTCAAGTTTATGGTTGAAAGAGTTGCCGTTTTTTCCACTTATCAGTGTTCAGCCGAGACGATCGGGAATAACGGCCCTGCAATCATAGGTTGTTGCTCTTCCTACTGCGCCCGCACCACAAACAAAACCAACAAGTTTATATAAAGGAAACTACCTAGATTCTAGACCATTAAGTCCAACCTCCGTCCTAGATTCAATAACACGGAGATTTTAAAACTCAGTATATTACATTGTTTTTAATAAATAGTTTATTTTTCTTCTTTATTGTAACAGTATTAAAATACTGTTTGTTTTTTTTTTGAGAATTAAAAAAATAAAAACAGAAGTGCGATTAGTTCACGTTTTCCGCGCGGCCAGTTGTGTTGTGAGTGAATGTAGGTCAGTGAAATGATCGAAACACGGTCCCGTATGGAATCCGACCCGAGCCGCGGCCGACCGATTTCGGTGTCAAACCGTCGGCCCGCACTTTCATAATTATTATTCTTTTTTTTGCTCAAGCAACACTGCGAAAAAAGTTTCGTCATTATTTAATCAAACATTACGAACATAATTTTTTTTTTTCTTATAAAATTTAAAGAAGTTTTAAGAATGAAATATTGCTAAATTTAATTGCAAGGATAGTAAAGACAAGTTGTATTTTTGACCATAAGTGTTGTAGTTAAGAATGTCTACATTTCAATTGACTTACTTTTGAGATAAGGCCCAGATAAGCAGGTTCCGAGGCGGGGTCATTAACATCGCGTTGCCTGCGTCCCGCTCACCACGAAGGAATTTTTTATCTTCATTATAATGAAGTTGTTAAACAAAAGACTGCACTTTATAAGGGAAACATGTACATCCCTACTAAAAAAAGAATCTTACTAATATTATAAATGCGAATGTTTGGTTGGATAGATGAACTGATGTTTGTTTGAAGGTATCTCCGAAACGGCTGAACGGATCTTGCTAAAATTTGGCATAGATTTAGAACATAGTCAGGAAGAACAGATAGGTTTGTTATTAAGTTTTTATGAACTCCGCGCGGACGGTTTTGCGGGCAACAGCTAGTATTTTATAATTACAAAGAGCACGGTTTTTTATCATTAAACCATATAATGTAATGACTCAGCAGAGCATCTGAGTTATAACAAGTTTCAATACAAAAAAACATAATTACATATGAGTAAATAAATAAGTACATTCTCAAACAAATTGAAAAAAAAACACTCCATTTTCAGTATGTTTTTAATTATTTCTATATGCGTTTTGAGATATCTAAAACAACAGATTAAAGGATACATCAGTCTATATGTGAATATTAAATTAATAAAGTTTAATTTATAATTCAAATAGTTCATTCATTCTTGCAAAAATATTCTCTATAAAGGAGCAAAGATTCTTAACATGTTATTGACCTCCAAAGTTGTCAACTGCCAAATTAATAATATGTATGCGAGATTCGTGCAAACGTGAAGATATTCCGTATTATATTTATATTTTACTAGATATACCAATTAATCTAGCATTAGCATAAAGTTGTAATTAATTCTAGGTTTAACTTAATAAGGGACCTCACCTTTATTAGGAAAAATCTCGACCTTGGAATAAAAAATAGATTATTTAGATGTTTGAAAGCCAATTATAAGAGTAGATGGATAAAAGCTAGTTTATATTGCTGTGAATTTCGCGACCAAACATCTCTACAAGAAGTATTGTCCTTCTTCTCTTTGAGAAAAACAAGGATAGCAAAAATTTTTTTATGGCTTTCGACAATGCAAACTTGCCAGTACGTTATTCGAACCTCTTTGCTCTACATATAATTCTCGTTTGTTCTCATTTTACTTTCATGCAAACACTTTTATACATCATAAATTAAAAGTAACATATATTAAACTTTTGACAATAATAACGGTAAATCAATGAAAGGTAAAAGCAAGATCGTTCGATTTATTTTATTAATTTCATAAAACGCTACTTTTGCATAAATTCAAGATTTATTTTAATTGATAAATGAATCAAAACACGGTAATGAATTTGAGGTAATGAAATGAAAATTTTGTTACCGCTTGGTAATTTTAAGAGATATTTTACGATCGAAAATGAAAACTTGGCGTCGTTTTTGCGAAGGCATCGAATGGCGAAAGCGATGTAATTTATGCTGGCCCAAATTTCATATTAAATTCGTGGCATTTTGTACATCTTTATTCCGTTTATTCTTTAAAGAATCGCTCGTAATTTTTTTTTGTATTCTTCAATTAAATTTTTATATCTAAAGTTAAAACTTAATTTTTTATCGAACTATATGTTAAAATGAGATGAAACAAGTTACGGGACAACCTTACCATACTCAAAAGATATTAATGATAATAAATAAAATTAATGATAATAGGATTACTGGGATACGAAATATATTGGAGATTCCAAATACCCAGATTTATTTTCAATTTGTTGTAAAGACAAATAGTAATTTCGGCGATGCGCGCTGTGTACGAAGCTCTGACATTACATGCTTAGCGACTAAAATCGCCGAGTTTCGAAGATTTACGTTATCTGTTGTACAAAGGCTTTAGACCAAGAATATTAAATCGCGGTGTTCGTAATCTTTCTATCTATATTTTACATTACATGTAAATATGTTTATATTGAACGTCCTTAATCGTATGTAACATATAAACCTTCAAACATTGTATGCAACTTGAATGTTTATTCACATAAAATGAAGGTACTTAGTCCGCATTGCAGCGGCGCTCGTGAAAGTTTACGAGCACTAAAAATAAGTGACATTTTTGCATAATGCATACCGGATAAGGATGAAACTTTCGGTGTAAGTTTACACTTCTCATGTCTCGAAAAAATCATTTATGTTAAATATTTTATTTCTACTATATATTAAGTGAAAACGTGAGACATAAAATGCGCTACGTGAATATCATAAAGATGATAACACAACAAAAAAATCTCCTATTTTAATGAACTAAGTAGTGCAATTTATTCTTTTTCAAAATATTTTTAGAGCGCTAATTTTTTTGACTATAAAAATGTCATGTTTTAAACTCAATAAATTAGGAAAAAAGTCACTGGTGCGTTGATGTCTTTTTCATGGCGATATTAACAGGACATTAAACAGATTACCATAAATTCCTTTCACGTTAGTCATTAATTGCACCGTCGTTCCCTTTTTGTTATATTTTTCTTAGTGTAGACTAGTTCTATTAATCCCCTTAAGGAAAAGGGTTTCCAGGAATTCGTTTAATGAAGGTGCCCGTACTTACCCGTGGTTACGAAAACATGTTCTACACAAGGCTTAAATGTACATATATATATATATATATATATATATATATATTCGGTCAAACTTAACTATGACATTTAAATTTTTCTCTTATTTGTAGGTTTTTATTAATTAGAAAAATTAAACTTTCCAATTTATACATTACATTATGACACGTACGTAATCTAAGATTTTCCAGACAAGTAAAATTTGTGTACAAAAATTAATCGCTATTAAGTACTTCTCCTTACATTACAAAAGTTTATTTTCACTTCTCAATTATAAACGAAATTAAAAAAAAATATTAAGTTAATCTAGTGGTCATTATTCAAACGAGTCAAGAATGAACTCTATCTAAACAAAAGAGTAAAACAAACTCAATGATTTCATTCCAATTATCTGCAAACCGTGAAATCATTCGATCATAAAAAACAATATTCGCGACGAGCAAGTAACTGTTCTATGCTCCAAAATGTTGACTAATTTACACACAATAATGGCTGATGAATATAACGACACGCTTGATACATTATACCTGATATATGTTGATATTTCGATACAGCCTGCTGATATTTTACACTTTTATATAACTGTACTTCTTCATTTGCATTTATAATCACTAGTTGGCGCCCGGGACTACATCCGCACTGAATTATAAAAAAACTCAAAAAGCCTATGTGTTCTATCTTACTATATTCTACGTGTGTGCCAAATTTCATCAAAACCCATTAAGCCGTGCCAGAGATACCTTCAAACAAACATCAATCCATCCAAACATTCGCATTTATAATATTAGTAAGATAGAAAAGGATTGAGTAGAATAATTCTAACATTACTTAAATGAAAACATATATGGATTATATATCATAGTTCTTAGATATACATAAGTATCTTCCGATAAACGTCATTCTTTAAAAATAAAATAATCCATTTTACCCTTTCCAAACATAATAATTCTTACCAAGAAGTAATAATGTTTAAAGATATTTTTCAATAATATTTCATTACAGTAAACACCCGCTGTTTGTATGTTACATGCGAAATTATATTCCCTTGCCATCTTAATATACATAAAAGTTATCACAAGCAATAAAAAAATATTATGAAAATTACGGTTTTTATAAGTATGACAAATGAGCTTATCACCATCTCCGGTCGGCAACGCATCTGCGGTTCCTCTGGTATTGCTGATGAACACCTCGGTGTTCCCGCTACTCGTTTGCCCCCCCCCCCCTTCTGTTATAAAAATAATGTTTATGAAATTTTATCACATGAACGGGTAAACGGTTTTATATCTGATGGTAATATATCAATTCGGAAGCCTTGTAAGGCATCTTAATTGGTACTCTGGTTTGGAGAGAAGCGATGTATTTCCGTTAATACTTGACTTGGGGAATTTCTTTAATTGTAACGTATTGTGTCAGACATTTATTTCTTTAAGTGTATATATCATATGTAAAATCAATTAAAATAAGTGAAAAAAGAAACGTAAATGAACTTAAAGAAACATCAAGTCAGTCAGTTATCAGTGAAGTTTACAGTAATGTAGCGTAGTTTAAAAATTCCTTTTTTAAATCTATGAGTGTAAAATAGATTGACGTTTGGCTTAAAATTGTTTACTTTCGTTATTTATATCATATACCGAATGC